AGAGGGAGAAGCTCAAATACCATATGATTTCCCTCATTAAGTAGTAGACAATAACAACAACAAACAAACACATAGAGACAGAGATTGGATTGGTGGTTACCAGAGGAGAAGGGGGGAGGGAGGAGGGCGAAAGGGATAATTCAGCACATGTGTGTGGTGATGGGTTGTAATTAGTATTTGGGTGGGGAACATGATGTAATCTATGCAGAAATAGAAGTATAATGATGTACACCTGAAATTTATACAATGTGATAAACCAATGTTACTACAATAAACGAAAAATTAAAAAAAAATTATCAGGCATTCAAAGAAGCAAGAAAGTATGATCAATATTGAGGAAAAAATCAGTTAACCAAAACTGACCAGAACTGACCCATATGTTAGCATGGACATCAAAAGAATGATTATAACTGCATTCCATATGTTCCAAAGTTAAACAGAGGCATGTAAGATACAAAAACGACCCAAACTAAAGTTCTAGAGATAAAAACTACAATATGTGAGATGAAAGGTACATTGACTAAGATTAATAAACAATTAGACATTGCAGAAGAAAAGATTAGTGACTTTGAAGACAGCAATAAAAATTATCCAAAATGAAACACAGAAAGGAAGAAGAGAATTTAAAAAATAAACAGAGCTCCATAAAGTGGTGGGACAACTTCATGCAGCCTCAAAAATGCATAATTGGAGTCCTTGAAGAAGAAGAGAGGAAGGGAAACAAAAGAATTATATTTCAAAAAATAACAGGCCCAAATTTTACAAATTTAATGAAAATAATAAACTCACAGTCCCCCAAAATTCAATGAACTTCAAGTACAAGAAACATGAAAAAAATTCACATAAAATAAGTTACAAAAATCACATAATTAATCGTGCAAAACTAGTGATGGAGAGAAATCTTAAAAGCAGCCACAACAAAAAGATACCCTATAAACAGAAGGACAGACGATTTGTTAGAAAAAACACAAGCAAGAAGACAGTAGATCAACATCTTTCGGGTACTAAAAGAAAAAAAAGAAAACTTCTCAACCTAGAATTCTATAGCCAGGAAAAAAATAGGTTTCAAAAATAAAGGTGAAATAAAGACTTTTTAAAACATACAAAAGTTGAAAGAACTCACTACCAGCAGGCCTGCACTACAGCAAATACTAAAGGAAGCTTTCCTGGCAGAAGGAAAGTGATACCAGATGGAAATAATTGTTTAAGTAAAAATAAAAACAATGCAAAATGGGATTTACAATGTACGCAAAAGTTAAATGTATCACGACAACAACAAAGGAGATTAAATGGAGTGATAAAACACATTCAGTTAATCCAAAAGAAGGCAGAAAAAAGGAAAAAAGGGACAAATAGGACAAATAGAAAACAAATAACAACATGATAGATGACTGTAAACATATTAATTAGTATAGTAAATGTAAATGGCATAAATATCCTAATTAAAATACAGAGATTGTAAGATTGGTAATTTGCCTAATTCTCCTGGGTTATATAAAATTCAATATTAGTATTTATTTATTCAATGAATATTTAATTTATTTCTATTCCATGAGAGGCACAGCATTTGGTGCTGGGGATACTGCCTCAAACAGCCTGTCTATAGTCCCTCCTCTCATGACCCTTACCATCTGGTGTTGAGTGCAGACATGTAAACAGACAATTACGACAAAGTGTAATAAGTGTTTGGGCAGAGCAGTTTGATTCTTCTCTGTATACTTAGAAACAACAATGCTTTAAAAAATATTAACACAATGACCACAGCTTGCAATGTTTTAATTACAATGATGGATAACTTTCCACACCTGCTACAATTTATACAGAGTTTCTACTAAGCAATTGGCCACTTGTAATTAAGAATGGAGCAGCATCTATGGAGTCTCCTGCCAAACCCAATTCTGTACATTTACCATTTTCCAATTCTCTCCCCCTATTAGGTTAGTGGTTCTCAACCTGGGCCAATTTTGCTCCCAGGGGACATTTGACAATGTCTGAGAATATTCTGTGTTGTCACAACAGGGATGGGGTACTATTGGCATCAAGTAAGTACAGGCCAGAGATGCTGCTAAACATTCTACAATGCACTGAGCAGCCCCCCATAACAAAGAATCATCTAGTCCAAAAAGTCAATAGTGCCTTGGTTGAGAAACCCTGAACTTGGGTGACCAATTCATCCCAGTCTGCCCAGGACTTCCTGGGCAATTTTAGCACTGAAAGTTTTGTGAAACAGTGAAGACTGATCACCCCACTTCCTACCTACTAGTATTAGAAAGTCAGTCTGTATTCAAATAGTTGTTCCTTTTGGTATGAATATTCAGTCCCCTTTGTAATGTAATAAAATCATAATCAGCATGAACATGCATTGAGCATATATTTTGTCCAGTATTATGCCAAGTATACTTGTTACTAGTATTATCTCTTTTAGTCACCTTAACAATTGCATGAGATTACTATTATTACTTCCACTTCACAATCGATAAAAAGTAGGCTTATAAAGTTTAGGCATAGAGTTGAACTTTACACAGCTGGCTACAGTAGAATTAGGATTCTAAAACAAGGTCTATCTTGAGTATACAGAGCATATTTCCTGCTTTGCAAGATTGAAAATATTTTCTCCACACTGTGCCAACCACATAGCATCACTTGTATTTATAATGACTGTCAGAATTACAAATCAAACAAAATTACATTTAATATAACTGTGGCTTTCATTTTCTGAGTTGTTGCTGGTTACAACTGCATTGCATCAGATTTGAGCTGGTATGAAGAGTATAATTTTCTTTTAGAAAGTATGGAATTTGAAACCAAAGAGATTTGAGTCTAACTTGATATGTGATCTGGGTGAATTACTTAACTTCTCTGAGTCTTATGAGGGGAATGTGTAAATTAAATGACGTAACCTTTCTAAAGTCCCTTTTACAGTGCCTAGTATGTCAAAGAAATTCCATAAGTGGTAGTTATAATTATCAATGTGAGGAAATATCTTGATTTAAATGGCATAGATTACTTATTCATGACATTTTTATTAGTAGGGAAGGAGAAAGGAAGAGAAGCAAGCAATATGAATGTCATAACAGTTATAACCTAGCATAATGAAAAGGCATTGGAGTCAGAAAGGATTTGTGGAAATCCAGCTGAGTTACACAATGTATTAAAAACGTGACATTTATCTTCTATAAAATGAGGGAAATGCTCTTTACTGAACATTGTGAAGATTATAATGACATAGAATACACATCCCATACATCTTCCTATTTCTTTAAAAAAAGGAAAAACAGCCCAATTCTCAAAACTGTGTTTCCAAAAAGTTAGAGCAGCTTGCAAATCAAACACTCCATTGCAAATACTGATCTGAGTGACAAATATTCAGTGACGGAAATGAAATATTCATTTTGCCTGCACTCAGCAGTCAGATAGCCAGTTAAACAGGCGCAGTTCTATTTTCCGTATTTGTATGAGGGAAGTCATGGCTCCTAATGTAAAGATGCCTTCAGAGCTGCCATGTCCTTAAAATGACTAAATTATAACATACTGAAGGTAACCACTAAATAAGTGTGGGTAAAGTCCATTTTTGTTTTGTTTAGAGTAACAGTATGCTTAACTTAGGAAAAAACCCACTAGAAGACTGTAATTCTGTGATGAATGAAATGACATTTGTGTGGAAGGGGTACAAAAAAAGGGGATTGATTGCAGAAGAATTACCATCCCCAAGCTGGGTAATTTCCTTGGCAAAAGTAAGATTAAATTCTCCTTCCATGAGCAAGATTGTTCCACATTTGTGGTGAACAGCAGATGGACCAAGTGTGTGGTATAAAACTAAGGAGGCATGCCAAGAGAGGTCAGTTAGAAGCGAATTGAATTTTCATTGTTGAGAGCTCAGAGGAGGAAAGGCAACCAGGAACTAAATGGTAAGCGTATTACTTTGTGTTTGTGAAGATTTACCCATGTATTCCTTCACTTTTTCTCTCACATTCTCTCTCTCTCTCAGTTGGATTTCATGACAATCTGACCACTCCCTCCCCTTTTGTTTTCATACTGGTTGTAGAGAGAAGTTATGGAACCTGCAAACCAAACAGGTGGATTTGGGAAATGAGAAAGTAGTTCTGAAATGATGTTTACTTTCTGCTGCTACTGAGGTTTATCCAGTTTAATAGACACTAGGTGACACTGATTCAGCGCTGCAATAATTGTTGAGGAAGACACTTGTGGGTACGTGGGATCATTTGGATCTCATAAACAAAGGACATATGGATACTGTGAAACTACAAGCAGCAAGTCTCATAAAAATAATGACCCACAGGCAGGGTCAGATCCAAGTCTTGTGGCGCTTGACGTTGATATAATTTGGGGTGCTCTTTATACAAAATTAAGTACAAAAATTTATTAAAAGGAAAAAATCACAATAAGTTACTGGAACTTTGGAGACTGAGTTCCTTTTGTTGTTGAATTTCTTTAGACAATTGCCAGAAATTCTCACCCAGAAGTGCTTGCTAATTGCAACCTCAGCTTCCCATGCGCGCCTACAATATTTTTAAATTCCCAACAACTCCTGGGACACACAGGGGCCCTTGCAAAAGAGGCCTGGCCATTATGCTTCATTGGTAGCATCCTCTGCCTACAAGAACTTCCCGCTGTAGCTTATTGTATCCTATTTGAGAAGCCTGAAATTACCGTGAAACATAAATTACAGAAACTTTCCATTTGATGCTTGTCATTGCGTTATAAGAACTGAAAAGCTCACACACCTATCACCTACCTGGTCCTCGGCCTCGCAGCTTATCAATCCTGGGTTTTACAAGTACGGGGATGGTGTCCAGCTGGGACTCGGGCTACTCACCACGTCGCACGCCCACAGCCAGAGCCCGCGGGGACCCCACTCCGCGCGCGGCCGGGGGCCGGAGGGCGGGCTGCGCGCGGAGGCCGAGCCCGGGCCGCGCCTCCCGCTGATTGGCCGCGCCCGGCCCCTGGGGGCGGGCTCTCCCCGCGCTCGCCCGGCCCGGGGTGGCTATATTGGCACCGTTCCTGCTAGGTCGAGTCGCTTCCTCGCGCGGAGCTGGATCTAAGGAGCGGGCTTCCGAGGGCGGTGCGGGTGCAGGAAGCCGAGCGAGGCTGCCGAGAGCGAGCCGGGGGCCGCGGGGCTGCAGTGCGATGAAGCAGCGGCTCAGGGAGCGGAGGCCGGCGGTGTGGCTAGACGGGCCGGCCCGGGGCCGGGGCTGCTGCTCCGGAGGCTGCTGAGGCGCCGCGGCGGCCGGCGCGCAGAGCGGCGGGCAAGAGGGAGGAGAGGCAGCGGAGCGCGGGGGAAGCCGGCTGGGCGGCCGGCGGCTCGGGTTGGCCTCCCCTGTTGGGATCCCCCCGGTGGAACCATGCGGGTGGCCAAGTGGCTGACGGGGCTGCTCTACCAGCTCTCGCTCTTCATCACCAGGTCTTGGGAAGTTCACTTCCACCCCAGGCAAGGTAAGGTCACCGCGGGGCGCCTTCAGCAGCTAGGTGGTGGCGCGGGGCCCGAGTGGGACAGGCGGACCGGAGGGGGGTGAGCGGCTCAGCCTGTTGGGTGACCGTGGCCCTGCAGAGGTTCTCGGGACTCGCAGATCCGTCAACCCCAAGCATCCCGAGAGGTTGCTGCTGTGCCGGGTTTCGAGGAATCGCGCGCGCGGCGGGCACATCTCCCGGGAACACGCGGTGGGGGCGCGTGTGGCAGGGTGGGGCGTGCGCCCGGAGGACACGAGTTGGCGACAGCGGGGAAGCGAAGAGGGACGGGGGAAGGAGGTGGGCTGCTCAGGGCCCTGAGTGTCAGGCTCTTTGCTTGGGGAGGGTGGAGCAAGTCGGGGTGTGGGAAAAGCAGAGCGTGCACACTCACAGGGCGCACGTGTGTGTGTGCGCGCACTCGCCAGCATGTGTGCATTTGTTGCGCCCCCGGGTGTATTGGGACCTGGGACCGTGAACCTTTGATGGGGACGTTTGGTTGAAGCAGTTTGGGGTGGGGGAGTTGGAAACGCGTGGGAGCTCAATGGCCATATCGCTGTGGTTGCAGAAGCCCTGGTGAGGACACTGGCCTCCTACGAAGTGGTGACCCCCGCGCGGGTCAATGAGTTCGGCGAAATGTTCCCTCAGAGCCACCACTTCAGCCGGAGGAAGCGCAGCTCGGAGGCGCTGGAGCCCACGCCATTCAGGACCCACTACCGCATCAGCGCCTACGGGCAGCTCTTCCAGCTGAACCTGAGCGCCGACGCGGCCTTTCTGGCCGCCGGCTACACCGAGGTGCACTTGGGGGCCCCCGCGCGCGGGGCAGAGGAGCGCAGCACGGCGCCCCCAGACCTGCGCCACTGCTTCTACCGCGGCCAGGTCAACGCTCGGGAGGATCACACAGCCGTCTTCAGCCTCTGTGGAGGCCTGGTAAGCGCCCTCGGATCCCTTGGCATCTTCTTGGGATCCAGTAAAGGGCTGCGTTCAGGGAGCCGGGCATTGAGTTTTTCCACGTTTGGTAGTTGGTGACCCAAGAGTGGGTCACCAAAAGGATTAACATCTAGATTGAACCCAAGCCAGAGGCCACTCCTTCTTGCAGTGGGGAGAGGAGTTTGGAGCATCAGCATGTCTACCTGCTGAGCAAAATTGACCCTTCGTGCAAAGCTGAGAGACTATCTCTTGAAAGTGTCAGGTGCAGGGTTAGTGAGTCAGGGAGTGGCCGTATGGGATCTCTGCGCCAAAGGAAGTGTGATTTCCAACAGGAGGGCAGGCTATCTCACTCAGACAGCATTTCTGATCACCTATGGAGGCAGAATCCCCTGAATTTTCTTAAATTTGTTCCTTGAATTTAGAATGGTAGAAAGAAAACAGAACGAATACACACAAAATGAAAAGGTTTGGAAAGAACCAGTTGTTTTTTTTTGATGGTATGGGGATCGCCATTAATCTGAAGTACAGAACAGGGAAGAGATTGAGTCTGCCTGTTTAAAATTCATTGTGTTTAAAAATGGAGAGTAGGGGCCGGCCCACTGGCGTAGTGGTGAAGTTCGTGTGCTCCACTTCGAGGCCCCGGGTTCGCAGGTTCGACCCAGGGCGTGGACCTACCCACTACTTGTCAAGCCATGCTGTGGCAGGTGTCCCACATATGAAAAACAGAGGAAGATGGGCAGAGATGTTAGCTCAGGGCCAATCTTCCTCACCAAAAAATAAAAAAATAAAAATGTAGAGTATCTATGAAGTCCTGGTGCCAGCAAATGAGAAACGATCATTAGAGTGACAAGAGTAAAATATGGAGACTGTAAAAACCTCATTGCAGAGAAGTGAAATATCTGGTGTTTCATTTCTCTCCCTCTAAAACAGAGGTTCTAAACCTTTTTTTTTTGCCATGAACTTCTTTAGTCTGGGGAAAACCAGGACCTCTTCTTAGTATAATAATTCTAAAATAACATACATGTTATTTAATTGGCTTCCTTTTAAATACTAACAGTTACCAAAATGTTACAAATGTTTGTGGTGTCATAACACATACTTCTTTATTACTACATTAAATGATAATATTTATTGGGGAGGAGTCTATTTGCTACCATGCTTTTGCAGTGGTAATGAGCATAAACAATCCAGATAGCTACATCAACTCTGTGATAGGAAAGTATCTTTTTTTTTTTTTTTTTGGTGAGGAAGATCAACCCTGAGCTAACATCCGATGCCAATCCTCCTCTTTGTGCTGAGGAAGATTGGCCCTGGGCTAACATCTGTGCCCATCTTCCTCTACTTTATATGGGACGCCGCCACAGCATGGCTTGACAAGCGGTGCGTCGGTGCGCGCCCGAACCTGCGAACCCAGGGCTTCCCAAAGCGGAGCGCGCGCGTGCACTTAACTGCTACGCAGGCAGGCCCCAGGAAAGTATCCTTTTATTGATAACAAAGTCACAACGTCTGTGGTTTTACCTCCAATGATAATTGAGGGAAATGTTAAGTATCAGAAGTTAGTGAAAATAAAGATGAGACTTTCTCATCCTAGTTCATGGAACCACAGGTTAATAACGCTTCCGTTAAAACAGATATGAGCTCACTTCATCATTAACTCCTCCCAAAAATATATGTTCAAGAGGAAACAACAACTAGGAATTTGGTTATGAGATTCTAGTGTTCTTCCCCAGTATTTTAGTAAACATCATACTTGATATCTAGTAAAGTATTCCCAAGTAAACATCAACACGGTTTGTTCTTTGATTAAGTAAAAAACTGATAACTGTTTTCTTCAGGCCAAATGTAATTCTTGTTTTAAGGTTAATTGATGTAAGGTGTCTTCCCGAGTGTGTGTATTGGTCATTACTAAGTAAATATGTGAAGTTGCTTAGCTCTTTTTCATGCTATTATCTTTAGCTACATTTACATGGAATGCCTTGAACAATTTCCTTCCTTTCTGCTGTGGATAAATGCAAAATGCTTGCAACATCAGAAGGGCAGAAACACACTAATATTTGCGTAGCCACCTATACATCAAAAGAAAGAAACATTCTCTTTTCTAGAACCTTTCAAAATATTTAGTTTGTCTGGAAAATTCTAAATTTACTATCACAAATTTGTCATGGTCAATATGTTTTCTTGATTTAGTATTTTACAGCATGGAAAACCATTCCAGATGGGAAGCATTATTAGGAGTGATGTTTCTGCTCATGTTGATTCATAATGTTGGCATACTTCAAATTATTATTCAGTATCCCCTTTTTGAAATCAGAAAACAGTTGGAAATGTTTAGGTCTTAACAGGAGTTCATCTTTTCCTGCCACTGTGTCTGTTTGGATATAGTTGTCTAAGTTATTATGGGTTATTAATCTGACTTACATATGCACTTTGCTTTTGGTTAACTTATTGATATTATCAGTTTAATTTGATTTAACATTTAAAAACTTATTTTCATAACTATGTAATTCAACTTTATCTTAATTGTTTTTGTTTTTGTAAGGCTGCATTGAGGGCATCAGTCATGGTAGAGAGAGAAAATTTCCAGTAATACAGCAAATAATTAGAGGTACCAGGATCTACAAATATTTTTCTAGTAGTGTGATCATGACCAATAAGTCTAAATTACTAATAAGATTAGTGACATTTCTTTGATTTTTCTCAATTTTGATATTAGCACTAAAGCAGATATTAGCTATATCTTTATGTATTTTATTTCTACTCCAACTCTATCGTTAATTTTCTTTAGAATAATAGTTTCATCAGATAGCAGAACTTCTGATAGGTTTTAGAGTCCATTTGTCATTATATCAGATATAATTGGATATATCCTCATTTTAGTGTCAGATTAGTCTTTAGATGTGGATAAAATTGTGGTACCCACAACCTGGACCAGCTGATGTTTGCAAGGTTGTTTGCAGATCAACCTTGATCCAATGCCGGGGAAGTCAGTAATGCTAACCTACTGGCCTTGCTCCTGCTTGCTTTCAGACTTATCTTTGTGGCTTTGTGTATGCGACTGTGATGATCTAGCTTTGACCTCTGCCAGTTCGTTAAACACTAAGGTTGAGGTTTACTGAAGGATTTTTAGAGCCAGTCTTATTAACTTAGAGTTCTCTTCTTTTTCTGGTTGCTCTTTGCTTTGTTTTAGTTTTGCTTTTAATTATGAATGGATGGTATACTTCATCAAAGGCTTTTCCTGAATATATTGAAATGAGCATGGGTTTCCTCATTTTTTCTGCTAACGTGTGTTGTCTTATACATTGCTGGATTCGAGCACACGTTGACCATTGATAATTGACCCCATGCAGGGCCGTAAAGTGTTCTGAGGTCTCTGTATTGTTTGGGAGGAAAGTGGGGAAATTGTACTGTTCTCCAGTTCCTCTAATCTCTGATGTCTTTTGTGTCTTAGTCTCTTTGCGTCTTTTTGGCACCAGCTGCTGAACTCTGCACCTGAGAACTTGTGACCTTTCTTCTTTGCTCAGTCTAGGCTCGCTGACTCCTCCCCTCCTGGGCTCTCACTGGTGCTGCATATCCCTCTGAGTTCTGGCTGCAACAGCTATTTGATTTCTTGTCTGACTGATGCATTGTGTAGCCCCCAGACACAGGGTCACTTTGCTCCTGCTGCAGCACCCTGCCCACGTAAGGTGGTTTGGTCATGCTGTTGGTAATCTTCCAGACTCCTCAAAGGGTCTAAAACCCTCCATTCAACTCTCCTTGAAAATCAAGGGGAACTTGGTTCCTCCCTTTGCCAAACCCTGCCACACCTCTAATTTTGGTATGTGTGTGGGAGGAACCTTTTCAGAGGGTCCCTTCTCTGAATCCCGCATACATGCGGAAGCATTTGGCAGTACCCTTAAATTTTCTAATGTGTCTTCTGTCTCCAGGATCTTAACCCCCCCAGTGGAGAAGTTAGCACACATGCTTCTTGCCAGCTGTTTCCTTTGCCTCCATCACCCATTTCTTCCTGGAATCGTCTGAGTTCCCCATTCACATCTCATTTAGTTGACCTGTTCCCCTTCCATCTTCCCACTTGAGGGAGCATCTACCTTTCTTTGATGGCTATTGAGGAATGTGACTTTTAGAGGAAGGGAATGAAAAACTAATATTTTCAAGAGATACCTCCCTATACATGCAACCACTTTAAAAAACTGACACCCCAACGTATAGATTCCATTTAATTGCTGGTGTTGCATTAACCCCAAACATGTGAACTAATGTTTTCTTTTAATTTCTATATGGTTAATTTTTTTCTACTTTTAGAAGTCTTGGTATGTATGTGTTTCGCTTGCCCTAAATCACTGAACCATGACTAGTTTTGTTTAGTTTTAAGTGCTTTGGGCCCAAGAGCCAGAAGGGGCTAAGAGTCTGCCAGAAACTTTCCTTGTTTCATGTCTGTGTAACTTTTGCTTTTCTAATCTTGCTTTCTCTGCAATTTTTCTTTTATGTATTTGTCACATACTTAAAACATTTCTAAACAGATTACTTACATATTTCTAAAATCTATAGTAGATAAGAAAATGGAGCTGAATCATAAAATTACCTATAAGTAATATAAAGGTTAATGAAACTGTTTTTTAGTCCATTGATCACTCGACATTCTGTGACAGTTTATCAGGACTTAAAATCCCTACATTCAAGTCTAAACTTCATTTTCATGGTCATCATCTACTCATGATGTTGATAATCTTGCCAAAGTAGGTCAATATTTAATAAGTTGGCATATTTTTGGTGTATACTTGTCAGGATGGCATGTATAAATTGTACAGAGGCTATTCTCAGCAACTTCTAGGCCTCTGCTAGCCCTCTTCTCATATTACTTGGTGGATTCCCTTCTTCCAAAGGCCCTCAGGGACTAAGCTGGCCACCTAGACTGTTAACTTCACTATTTCTTGGTGGGATTTGAAGTAATGCAGTCTTTTTGGTTGAAAAAAAAAAAAAAAACAGCTTCCAGATGTCATAAA